ACCCCTTTCTAGAGTCCGACTGCCACTTAACCAGTCATTGGCTTGTCACTTTGGGCTTCTCCTGCTCCAGTAGCACAGGCCCCCTGTCTGTCTCCCCTTCTAGATTCATCGCCTCACCCAGCACCCGGAGCACAGCATGAGACTGGGCGGGAAGAATCCTTCAAATAGCTCCTGGAAGTCCCTCCTTTTACCCTTAAATCCCTTTGGGGGCTTTGGAGCACCCCCCCCCCTCCGCTGGGTCCTCAGCCCCAGGGAGCACCCCCTCCCCGAGGGGTGAATGTACTCCCGGAGCAGAATCAGGAGCAATTAGATTCCTCAAAGAAAGACGATTGGCCCTTGGGTTCCTGGCCCTCCAGCCCGACACCGCGGTTTACCCCGAAGACTAATCATCCCGAGGCCTCGGCAGCTCTGTGCTATCTGGGGTACTGGGTTCCTGCCAGTGGTGAAATGCACACAGCTTCCACCCCTACCCCCCCACCCCCCGGCCTGCCCGCATCGCTTGGCTCTGAGCGGATTCACAGTCTAAGTCATGGCCAGCAGGTGCATCAGGCCTAGGCTTCCTAACAGCATGGCCCAGGGGCCGGCTCCAGACAATCCCTACCCCGACGCCCGCTGGAGCTGGGCCTAGGCTGATGTCTCTGATGCCTACTCCATAGTGGGTCCCCGTTCCCTTCAAAGGGCCCGACATTCCACCATGAGACTCAGCCAGTAAGGAGACTATCTAACTTCCGCGGAGTGTTTATGGGAAGTCTCTGATGGCTTGGGCAAGGTGCATTGTCTCCACTCTGGTTCCTTGGCCGCTCACCTTCCTCTGTCCTAGCCCATGCCGTGCTTTCTGGTGAGGGCAGGGGGCTATCTTCAGAGCCTGGCACAGAGCCTGGGGCACAGAAAGTGCTTGGTACTGAATAAGGGAGTGGATGAATGAATGAATGAATGAACGAATGAATGGAAGGACAGACAGATGGACCCAAGAACATGGGCCCGTTGCTCCTGGGTCTCCCGGGGACCAGTTGAGGGCTGTGATACCAGAGGGGGAGGCCAAACTTCAGACCAAGGCCAGCGTCCCCTGGCCGCCTGCTCTGGACACTCCAGATCCCCCTTCCCCGTGTGTTGAATTGTAAGCGTGCCCGAGTTTGGGTGTGAAAGCCATCTCTGTGCAGGGACACTCCCCCGGGCGTCTGAGTCCTGTGTCTCCCTCCCCTTCATCCCCACTCATGCTGGGTCCTGGAGACCCAGAGGCGACAGCTGTGGTCCCCACCCCAGGTGCCAGGTACCTCCCGTGCCGCTGGGCCTCCTCCCACAGAGCCGACTGGCTCTGAGCCCAGGGGCAACCCAGGAGGGCTTCAGGCAAGTGGAGGCAATGTTTACACTCCTGCTTGTCAGTTCACAGGAATTGGGTGCTGTGAGAATACGCCTTCCCCCGCTGGAGGGAGCTGGGGGCGCTTGACTCCAGCAAGGAACTTGCCCTTGACCTGAGCCCAGGACCTAGAACGTAGGTGCAGGAGGTCTCCCATCTCACAGGACGGCAGAAAGACTCAGAGAAGAAGTGCCTTGCCCAAGTTCACGCAGTGAACTCCGCATTCCCCGAGCCTGGACTTCCGGTCTCTCCTGGTAAGCCCCCGACGGCCATCCCAATTCCTCCCCAGGCGCCTCTCCCGGACGGGCCCACCGGTTACCTAGGAAATACCAGAGCAGGACCCCCACCGAAGCCAGCACGACAAGGGCCAGCCACAGGGGCGCCAGGCGGAGGTAGTCCCGGGCTTTTCTCTTGGAGTCCTTGGGGGCCTTGAACATCCCCTCCGGCTCTGCCTCCTCGCCATCACCTCCATCGCCCTGTCCGCCAGCTGCCTGGGGGGCCTCGGCCGTGGGCATCCTGGTGGAGAAACAGACCCGGGTTGGAAACGACCCGGCGTCGGCAAAGGAGCTTTTGCCGAATACCAAGGGTGCACGGAAGACAGCAGCCCCGCCTTTGGGATGGGAAGTC